TCCAGCACGTGCTTTCAGATGGAGCGGCATTTACTACACAGAGCCGTAGTTCACTGACAAGCTACACAAAATCGTAGGCGATTCATTGCCATTGTCATTAATATTTATCTAATAAATTATCCATTCGATCAATTTTATGAAAATATTCCAGTAAGACAAAAATAAATAAATACATGAATAAATAAAATAAAATAAAATTCAAATAAAAATGTACAATACAATTCACATCATGTTCCTTTAGCTGTAGTGATCAGCACTGAACACCACCAAGCAGCAGGGAGGGTTAAACTGAGCCTGGGCCTCTGTCTCAGATGTTCAACCACAGATAAAACTGGTGCAGTTTACTTATTCTGGGTGTGCATCAGCCACAATACTCTCTTTCTCTCTCTACACACACACACACACACACACACACACACACACACAAAATAAAGGCCACAGCAGGAGAAACAGGCTTTTCTAACAACTGTTTATCCTCTGCTTTCTGTATTATTCACACCCATCATCTAAAGACAATAAACAGATACCGAATTAGTACGGGCTGTTACTACAACATGGCATAAATCACATGACACCATCCAGACTGAGCTACTGAGAAAGAGCCAAGGCTTTCCTAACGTCCAACACAGTGTTTAAAGTTCAAAATGGTCCACTCTAATGAGTGCACTCCTGAGTTATTTGTCTCTCTGTCTGAGTTCTCGTTCAGGGCCAGTCATGATGTAATATGAGAAAATCTGCCCAATGAAATCACCCAGCAAAAAAGGAACAGAAGAGTAATTGGAACAAACAGAGGAACTATATAATTAAGCAATAAGGTACAAGGCTGTGCAGTATTGTGAAAATACATTACATTATATTATTATAAATTGTATACATTTTAACCTAAGGTTTAGATCATTATCTATAGTAATGTACTACATTTAGATGCAAATTACTTAATAGTAGGGCTGCACGATAAATCCAAATGGAATCGAGATCGCGATTCGACAGAAGCTGCGATTGTCATGCGTATCTTTCAGTGAAGCACGGTTCTGTGATCAGCAGTAAATCTCCATCCGAAGGCCAGAGGGTGCTCTCGTGCTGAAACTCCAAATACGCCTTGCAGAAGAAACCCAGGAAATGCCTATCGCTGCAGCTGAATAAACAGAACATGCCATCTGAAAGCCCGTGATGATAATTTTCTGCTGATTACAGAACCGGCATTACTATCAAAATGCGCATGACAATCGCATTCGATTAATCGTGCAGCCCTACTTAATAGCTTTAAGTGTTTCAATGTAAAAAAATAAAAATAAATAGATATATGATATCATCCAAATTTATTATATAAATCATACAATAAAATATAATAAAATGGAACAAACACAAATACAAAATACCAAAAAGAATAAATAATTAATACATATTAACTATTTTCTTTTAATTTACCAAAAATACAAATAAGCAAAACTAATACACACACACACACACACACACATATATTATATATATATACATATATATATTATATATATATATTAGACTTGTGCCGGTATTCGGTAATGCGATATATCACGGTAATGAATATGCACGATATTGTTATCGTGGGCACTTCTAAATACC